AGCTTCAGGGACTTTCATCTTAGCCTTCCTCTGTTTGTGTCTGCATTGTCTCTCTCTCTCTTTCTCTCTCTCTCTCTCTCTCTCTCTCTCTCTCTCTCTCTGGCTCACACACGTGTATGCTATCTGATAGCAGTAGTTAAGATGATAAGTGGTTTTTAATGGCTGTCTGTTGCTAAATATTGTACTTCAGCCTGTTATTTAACACCCACTGTCTGACTCAGTTACTGTACCTGTACAACAACTACACAATTACTTTGTTTCCATAGCAGTAGTGTCAGTAAACTAAATAATGTAGAGAAAATGAAGCCATGGATGTGCGGGTAAACATCTGTGTGTCAGCATGCACAGCATCAAATAAAGGCCCTGGGAAAGATTATGCACAGATTTGCACTAACACTGAAGTCTGAGTGCTGCAGGTGTTGGGTTGATTTGTGTTTTCAGGGAAACAGACGTTCGTTGTTGGTTATGTTATGTTTATGTTTATGTTTATTCATTTAGGAGACGCTTTTATCCAAAGCGACTTACAATTTATAACCTATAGGGCATGTTATGATGTTGGTTTAGTATCCAGGAAACAAAAGATAACATCTCTACCAGTAGAAGCTAACCATTAGCGTTAGCAACTCCACAACACAGCAGAACTCGTTCAGGCTTGTGTTATTTGTGGAGGTGAAACATCATCATTGCAAAGCGAATGGAGTCAGTGGTAGAGGCTATCAGTGACGTTCATGAAAAAATCAAATCTTTTGACAGCTCTTCAAAGTGAACTATGAGAGCCGAGTTCTTGTAAAGAACCGTTCATCTCATCTGCCAGTTATGCACCCTCCCCTCAGACATTGGCGGAATGCATGACACCCCACCCTCACCCCGCCGCTTCCCCTCATGAACATCGATGGGACATGTTGCTCAAATCTCCCCACCTGCTCCCACAGAGATCACTCTGCCTAGTTTAAAAGACCCAGTCTTTTGAACGGCGATTTGAGGTAAACGGCCCTCGAATGAACGGCTCCCTTGAAAGAGATATGAGTCACATCACTAGTAGAGGTGCGTAGCTGTTATCCAAAGTAAGGCCGGGGACACTCCGGCCGCCGAAGCGCCGGGAGGCGAAGCGCTCACGAAATTCGGCCGCTGCTCCTCAGATCAGACCAGACGCTTGTTTCTCCGCTCCGGTCGAGGCGCGCCTCATAGTTTTTCTTTTAACCACTTGGTGGCCTCCATTTCCTCTCCACCTTTTCTCTGCTCTTTTCCTCGACACCCCCTCCCACTTCCTGTTTGTGTGTGTGTTTTTCCACGTGTGTGTGTGAACCTATGGTGTGAACCAGTTGTTAATAGCTGACCTACAACTTTCTGCCTCTCTGTCCTGTTTGCTCCGGTTGAAAGACACCCAAAACCACACCCCTTCACGTGGTCACACACACAGACAAGTTCGCTGTGTGTGTGTGTGTGTGTGTGTGTGTGTGTGTGTGTGTGGTTTTTATGCAGTGTCTGTTTACGAACACATTTGACTATTGCGGAATTGTATTTTGAAATGCTTTATTTTGTTAAATTTACCGGCCTGCTTCTTATGTCTAGGTTTGACTTCCTGCCAGAATTGACGCGGTTCATCCGCGGCTTGCGAAAAAAACAGAGCAGACGCCGAAACGATTGCTGCACGGCGCAGGCTGGAGCGCCGGCGCTTCGGCGGCCCATGTGGTCTATAGAATAGGATAACAAGGGCACCGAATGAAGGCGGTCCCCGTTTCGCGGTGCTTCAGCGGCTGGTGTGTCCCCGGCGTAAGACGTTTCAAGCTACTGTCTCCTCCAAGTGACATCTACGACCTCAAACAAGCACACCAGGCAAACAACAGGCATTCATTCCTACTAGAGACCACAGCAAATGTATTAAAATATGAGTAAAGTTGACCTATAACAAGACAGAAGAAAACAGTGCCCCCTAGTGGTTGGCTGCAGTACATATTTTAAGTACATACCATATTATATATTATCAGGAGTGCCTGCAGTCCAATTTTGATAGCTTTCAGCACTGGCTTAACAATAACAGACGTATCCTTAACAAATCTAAATCTTGTGTACTTCTTTTTTGGAGACATAAGTCAGCTCCAGTCATTAATGGAACTCTCAACTTACACTTTTTGGACTCTTCGCGTCTAAAATGTGTTGACAAAGTAAAATATTTAGGAGTTTGGTTTGAATCTGATCTTTCTTTTAAAGCTCACATTCAGTCAGTCACTAGTAAAGTTAATTATCAACTTAAAACTTTATATCAATCAATCAATTAACTGCTTTGATTTTAGAGTGAGAAATCATATTGAGACTTAACTGTTCTTTCCAATCCTTGATTATGCAGATATAATTCACCAAAATACCACTCTATCTTGTCTCCATCCACTGTTTGTTGTTTACAGCAGTATTTGTCATTTTGTGCTGCGTTGTCCTTTTAACACTCATAACTGTACTAGGTTTGAAAGTTTGAACTGGCTTCCTTTAAAGGAAAGACAAAGATTTTATTGGTTATTGTTTATCTCCAAATGTATATTTATAATGTTCCTGAGTATTTAAAAATGTATTTAGTGCCCTTTGAGTGTCCATATAGTAGGAAGGAAGTTAGGAGACTTGCTTTTAGAGTTAAGGCTCCATTGGACTGGAATAAGCTCTCTGTTGAGATAAGATCTATTACATCTTTTCATTTATTCAAGAACTCTGTTTATTAACACATTTTACCTAATTGTAATTGTTTTTAATTGATAATGTGCTGCGCCTAATTTACCACTGGCAAGAAAGAACCGCAACCTGAAATACTTTAAAATGGTATCAGAGAGCATTGTGGGAGTGAGAATGTATGTGGAGAATACCAGGGGCGGCGTTAGGCCCGGCTACTTGGGCTCAAGCCCCGAATGTTTTATGAAAAGACTAGTGAGTGTTACGTGTGTGTGTGTGTGTGCGCGTGCGTGTGCGTGTGTTAAGCCCCGGATCTTCTTCAGTCCTAAATCCGCCCCTGAAGAATGCTATGTGTTATTGTTTTAGTTTGTGGTTTATTTTTAGTTATCTTTTTAAATTAATTTATATTGTATTATCATTATTTTCTACTTCTTTATGTATTTGTATATGTGCAAACGGGTTTTTATTGTGAGTCACTTGCTGTCGTAATTTTCTCTGTCGTACTAAAGGAGGACCCCCTCGAAAACGAGATGTCTCATCTCAAGGGGTTTCCTCCAAAAACACAAGTTGAATAAATAAATAAATAAATAAATAAATAAATAAATAAATAAATAAATAAATAAATAAGTCCCACTGTCTCCGAAGAGATATTGTCCTGGCTGAAAACAAAACAAAAACCTCACGTAGGTTTTGCTTGCAACAAAATAATTGTTTCTAATATTTTTAGGTGTAATTAAATATTCAATGCTCTTAAAAACTCAATTTTTATGTTTTTTAGCTCCTCATCCAACAATCCAGTATGGCAGCACTCAGAAATGGGGGATTATTGCGTCAGATTTGAATAACAAATATAGGTGGGTTAGGCTGTCCCATTTTATGGCACAGAACTCTGTCCTGATTTATTCCCTGAACCAGCTGAACAACACTGTACTCAGTCTGTTTGATGTGCTGCTGACTATTTGATCGTCGTGTCTCCAAACCTGCTTTTCCATGACATAATTGCATGGCAACGAAGCTGGAACAAAGCATTCTGTGAAAAGCCTTTTCATCGGATCCGGTTCAGACATGCTAACTTGTCAAATTAGTATGAAAATATATTTAAGTTTTTGTGGAAATGTGATCCCCGGCGTTCAGTCGTGTGTGTCTGTGTGCGCACACACTGGCACACATCTCGCTAAGTACCAGACCGCCAGGGGAGAGGACAGGCGAGAGTGTTTGCTCTGCTTCTTAAAACAAACTCTCAAGGCAGATGAATGATATCAGGAGGTGCGATTAACAGGGACAAGGCTGAATGAAAAACGAAGTTAGCCCTATTCTCACCCTCACTTTCTCTTTCCCCTCCTTGTTCCAACCAATAAAGCTCAAATTTGCTTACATGGAATGGGAATTAAAATAGTGTGACATGAAGGAAATGACAAGAGGCTGTTGGAAAAGTTAGTTTGTTAAAGTTCACATCCTGACGACGAGGAGCAAGAAGAATGGAAAAGCCATCCCTCTCTTATGCTACAGAATCAGCCACAGATGCTGGTAGAATGGAGCTATACACCCCCCCCCCCCCCCCCCCCCCACACACACACACACACCCCTATTAAGAGTTAGAATAAACAATTTATCTGTATTATATACAATCATCTGTCTTTGCTGTTTAGATGTTCCTGAGCTGGATTCAGAAATTGATAAATGTATATGTGTTTTAACTTTTTAAATATTTGAACAATATAAAGCAAAGTTGATTTATTGTGCCTCACACTTGAACGTTTTCCCATCTTTCTGCAGTATGTGTGTGTTCGTGTGCATGTGTGTGTGTGTGTGTGTTTCACTTTGAACAGATCAATCTGGGAAGTTTTAGGGAGGCTTGTTTGAGTGATAGGTGGTTTTTGTGGTGAAGATCTTAACTGCTGAAACATCAACAGAATTGCGGTATCGTGTGGAAATCTAGAAAGTCTTCCTTTCTGGTTTACCAAAATCAACTTAAGCAGCATTAAGATGAACTGTAAATGCTCCTTCTTTGTTGAGATGGGTCCACTTATGGGACTTTTAGCTCCGTAAGGACCACACAGTTCTTACAGTTGCAATCCCACTGCAAAGCGTAATCTGATGTTGAAGTTGAGATCCTTCTGGGAAACTGTGCACTATTGTCTTCCATCCTGCCACAGCTGGGAAGTGGCCGGAAAGGCTGGCAGGCTTAGAAACCCTAAAGAAATCCTGTTTAGCACTGATTTGAGGCAGCTACTGATATCAGTTTGCTCTGACAGCTTTTCGGTAGTAGAAACGAGCTAAGAGAATTCTGTTCTGTTGCACGGATGTGGATCTGCCTTCTGACATGGCTTAAATGTTTGCAGGGCAGTGGGAAGTCCTCTGGTTGTGGACCCCAACAGCATTTGCAAGAAGGCAAAGCGTCTGGCAGGGAAGCAAGCTGAGCTTTGCCAGACTCAGCCAGAGATTGTCAGTGAAGTGGCCAAAGGAGCCCGGCTGGGTGTTAGAGAGTGCCAGTACCAGTTCAGGTACCGCCGCTGGAACTGCACCAGCCACAACAAATATTTCGGCAAAGTTCTTCAACAAGGTGAGTAAAGATATTTTTATTATTATTATTATTTACGTGCATTTATATTTTAAGGAGTAGTTGAACACTTGGACATGCCATTCGTGGTGTTGGTCATCTGAAATTGGTGGAAGAGCTTACCATAGCAGCAGAAAAACCTTGCTAACAGCTCCCAAATGCTCATTCATCGCAAATCAGGCAGAGCCAGTGGCACACGCGAGCCTTTTTGTTTTGCATCCAGTTCAAATAATCGTTTCAGGTGGATTCCTCGGTAACCTTGACCCTTTTAGTCTCAATCCCTATAAGGGTCCTATATTGAATTCATTGTTTTTACAAGCATATCACAAAAATGTCACGTCCAACTCCTCAGCCAGTCCCTCGGGATTGCAGCCGGGGGTCCTTACATGTACTTGAGGTCAGATCCCAGTCTGATGGCACTCCAACAGACAAGGGCAGCTGTTGTATTACTGACTAGACGTGTTCACGCTTGACTGACTCTCCTCTTCATCAGATTGGGCACGCTTGAAATGATTAGCTGAGATAGCCTTTTTTTCCTGGCATCTCTATTAGGATCTTCCAACATCTTATTCCAGCTCTTTGAAGTCTCTAATATAACTGACATTGGGTCACTGCTGGGTCTTCAGCAATTACAGTGTTGATTTTCCTGCTGTGATTGGATTCTTCAGGAACCGTTTGTCTCTGCTTTAACAGGCATCCCAGACAACCCTCTGATCTCAGTGTTTAGATGACAAACAAGGAATTTAATATTAATTAATTCAGCTCAAAAGAGCGAAACATGATTCCTGACACTGTGGTTACATTAAAACGAGTAATGTGGGCTTATATTTTTCCTTAAGGAAGTAAAACTGTGTTCAAATGGACTGTCATTAATAATCTTTAGGGTTGCCTTAACCCTTTGAAGCATGAATTATGAAATCTTCAACCATGATTTTTTAGCAATTTTTTTCATTCATCTTTAGGTGTGAATGAAAAAAGTTCATATTTACATATTTTTTGTAAAATTTAATTTACAAATAATTTATTACATGTCCATCTCAGTGGACAGTGTGCAATCTGAACATAAAATATGTTGGCTTGACTTACCGGAGTACAAATAGAGGGGTTCAAATGCAAAAAAGTCTTCAACAGCTGTGCTTAATAGCAAAAATAAATAAATAGCAATTTTAAGTACCTGTCCACTGTAGTGACCATTATGCATCAAAGGGTTAAAGAATTATTTTATAAGTCGACAATAGCGATTAGTCGACTAATTGAATCTTGTGTAAATTTTACCTTGAAGTGTTACCTCTCAGTTATGTGTTGTTTACAAATAAAGACAAATAATAAAATAACTACTTTAAAGGAACTTTTCAACTCGTAGAAAATAAGAAAAACAAAGCTCTGGGCTTAGTAAAACAGCAAGTGAATGCTGTTTGTTGGCTTGGTAGCAAGGTTATCCACTGAAGAGCAACGCCGTAGCGCATAAAAAAACATTCTTAGTATTTGTCACATTACAGTAAACACGTGACTTGAGTGTTAAGGGTAGTGAAATTTTAACTAATAATTTAACAAATACAAGTAGCTCACTGTTAATGTTAGCAGCTAGCTAGCTAATTAGCTTCAGGAGGCAACTGTCGCTTGTTATTGTCTACCAAAACATACATATTTATATGTTAAAAAAATAAAAGGTGTTTGTCACCTTAAAGCAAACACACAAGTGCTGAGTGTAAGGAAATCTCCATCACTACTGTCAGTGGCGGCTGGAGGAATCATTTAATTTTATTTTTGTGGGGCACATTTTAACAGGCGTTCTGCTGAAAAGAGCATGCCTGCCAAGATGTGCATGCCCCTGCTGTGGGAAGGTGCATATGAGTGACGAGGCAGCTTATCATTAAATTTGTACTATTAATACGTTTCTTGTCCATTTGCTGCCTTACAAAATGATGCTTTATGGGCAAATAAATAAAATAAATGATGGCTTATTTGAAAAAAATATCTTTCAAATGCAGACAGCGGGGACATGTCCCCCTCTGACATAAATCCCCCCCCCCCCCCCCCCCCACAAAAAACCCCTCCATAAAACACAAAATGTTTTTTTCTGTTTTAACAATATATTCACTTTTGTTGAATGCACAATACAAGTTGTGCTACTTGAACACACTGAGAGTTATAATAAGTGAAAGATTTAATGTCACCAATATTAGACTAACTTGTTTCACTGTCGTTTTACATTTCCATAGTCAGATATTGTCCAGATTTCTACATTTATGTTGGATATTATTACTTAGAATCTAATTTTCTAGTTCAGATTTTGTCGTTTTGTTTGTTTGTTTTAAAATTTAGTTCTGCCTTTGATTTAGATATTCCGTTCAACAGATATTCATTTTGTAACATTCTGACTGGTAATTTTCACTCCATATTTCCCTCTGATTATATCAATTTTAAAGTCAAACATCTTTTTACACAGTTTAGTAAGTTCACAGTGTTCTGTACTTGTTACGTACACGTTCGTGCAAAAATAGTTTTATTTTACAGCAGGAAAAGCTAAATGTAGGCCAAATAAACCTATTATCAGCTGAGTGATGATCCTCCTCTAAATCTAAAACCTGCTCTTGTTATTGTCCAATTGTCTGGCAGCTTCTAGTCAGGTCAAAATGGCAGAGAAACGACAAATGAAAGACATCAGGTCGTTTTTCAGTTCACCAAAACGCCAAGTGAGTTGTAATATTTGAATAATATTAAGGAAAATTGTTATTATTGTCCATATAAATAAATTATTGTTTTGGATATGTTTAATAATGGTATCATTAGGCACAAAGTACAGAGCTGGACACAAAGAGATGGAGCCAGTCAAGCAGAGACACAGAGCCTCAAGTGAGTTTGAGATTTTGGCTAGTGTCATGAAACAAGGAGACTACCTAAGCTAATTATGTGTGTTTTGTGTAGTTGTGGGTTTGAGTTTGGAAAACAACTTGTCTATTTTAGGAGGTAGACTGAATCAGGGTCACTGGTGGAAGGACCAAGCAGAGCATCGTATGACAGCACAGGGGACAGGGACACAGCAGGTCATGATGAGCAGCCTTCTACCAGCAGCAGCACTCAGACACCTAACTGACACCTTCCTTTCTTAGTATTACTACTCTTAGTGTTATTGGTAGAGCATCCAGAAACCTCTAATGTCCCCCCCTACAGTGATTAGGGATTTTCACCCCCGCTGCAACCTTCCAAATACAGGGCGAGCACTTAACACCTGTGCCACCGTCGCCCCCACCGGTTGTGTTAGCAGCTAACTAGCAAGTAAACCTAAAGTCAAGTGTCTCTCTGTATCATCGAACCGTCGTACTGGCATGGAAGGCAGGTTCTAACTTGTTTAAAAAAAGGCTGCCAAACATTTGATTGCCGTGGCCAGCTGACTGACTCCAAATGCCACCTCTGCACATGTGTGTCATGGGCAGAAAGGCAGATGAAGCATCGGGAGGTACAGGGGCAGTTTAAAAAGAAAGAAAGAAGAAAAACAGAACTTCAAAAATGAAAGATGATGTTGAATATTACATTTGTCGTCAGTGATATTGGTAGTTAACATAATCCTGATTAGTCAACTGACCTTGAGCGCATTAATAAACAATTTAAAGGGACTTTACGGAGTTTTGAATTTTTATGCTCGTGATTGCCCCCTCAGGCCAAAAGCGTAATGGCAGCTTCAATAGTAGGCTCGTGCACGAGGCGCGCATGCTGTACGTGCACACTCCATAATGAAAATAACAGCTGAGACAGTCCCGTGTGTGTGTGTGTGTGTGTGTGTGTGTGTGTGTGTGTGTGTGTGTGTGGCCCGGAGGACAGAGGACAGGAGAACGCGTAATTCATTAAATAATTTGGTTCTGTACCTTTCTCTTCAGCACAGCTGACAAAGGTTTATGATGCTCAGATCATTCCCTTCCCTTGCTTGAAAAATTGTTCCAAAATGAAAGTTGAACCCACATCTTTTTTATCTGTGAATTCAATGCCGTTCGGCGAGTCTCAAATAAAATTTTGGGCATGTTACTGTAAAAAATATACCATTAATGTAAAAATAAAAACTCCAAATAATCTATGTTCACATCCAGAATCTAACCTGGGTCTTCAGCATGAAAGTCTGACATCTTACCAGGCGTGCTATAGCACCAGTGATGTCATTTGTATCTGTAACATTTATATGTTTTATGACAGCTGAAACAACGTTCAAAGAACGGTTCGGAGGGCGATGCCTGACCGTGAACGCGCATGAAGCAGCCTGCTCGACCCGAGCATCTCTCTTTTTCTGTGATTTTACAGAAAAACAGGCAATCACAGTAAAAATGCCAGGGTTCATTCTACAGGACCAGGGCATTGCAGGAGAATGTATGAAGAAGAAATTTATTATTTCTATACATGTTTTGGCTGTCAAACTTCCATAATGTCCCTTTAAATGTTTGTGGTTTATTTCAACCTCTAATAGAACTTTTTCCTTTTCAGAGTTTTCTGTTGGCCTGCTCTAAATAGTTGAAATTTCAATCAACACCAAAGCTTCCTATATTAATACTTCTTTCATTTCTCAACCGTCTCACAAAGTTAATTGATGGCGGAGAGTTTAATGCTGACTTAATGCCCACTCTGGTTGACTCTGGTGTTGAGAGAGTTTCTAACAGAGATTGGAAGGATAGACTGAGCAAAGGCCAGGGAGGAACTGGGAAAGGGGGCAAGAATCTACCAGTTAAAGGCAATGAATCATAAATTCCTTCCTGTCTAAAAGGAAAAGAGAGCTCAAGTGCTCTTCTGTTTTGAAGTTTTTGTCCTCAATTACATGGATGTGCTCTTAATGGCTGTTTGTCATAGACTAATACTAGTAAATGTCAAAATAAAAGTGCCTCTGTATTTAAACTCTCTAAGTGGTTTACTTAACCTCACTGATCCGCAGTTCAACATTTTATTGTAAAATAGTGGCGTGAGAAGATCTGATCTGGTTTCTGTTTGTCTGCATTGAACTTGCTCCTTTGACCAGTTAT